ATATATATATATACTTCAGAACATTGACCACCGTGGTACGAGTGCCATGTCATATTTGAATGGCTAGATTTCTGTGTAAAATTTGCATGTAAATTATGGGTTTTCACTGGTTTGCTTCYGCCTGTTAGAAACATAATTCTTTGAAAATGTGTGTACCTTGGCAACATGTTTTTGCCTGATATGATAAATTGTCCTAAAATGCTTTTTTTTCCCCAAATCAGAATAGTTGTCAATTGCAAACTGACAACAACAATAGCTTCTCCTCGCCCCAAACAATATGGCTGCTTTCTCCAAACAGGGAAAGTAGAACGAAAAAGAGCACAGCCAGCCAAAAGTTTAGCTACACTAACTCATAATCTGCTAACTAAAAATTTAGCTTTGCTGACACTAAACTTGTAAAAAAAACTTGTAAAATGGTTAGCGGATGCTAATGCTAATCAGCTAAACAAGTAAAAATCAATCGCTAATTGTCAACTGCTAAGATGACTGCACATAGTCTGCATCTTTGTCTCCTTTAGGTTAATGATAAGTGGGAGTGTCACAACCTGGTAATGCTAGTTTGTTAGTTAGCCATTAGCAAACTTAAAGTGGGAAAAACCTAATTTAGTGGAAGCTAATTAGTCCCCTAGCAGTTTTCCAAGTTAGTGAAAAACAGACATTTAGTTCCAATATTAGCTGATTAGCAGAACCACGCCCACCACTGAAGAACATGCACATAGTACTCTTACATATCTAAAAATTAAACAAAATGTGTTCACTTTTTTTTACAGATATTTCTTAAAGTGGCAGAAGACACAGGAGTGGATGCAGAAATACCAGGTAAGATCGAAATGTATGCAKGTAAGATGTAAACTCGTGCAGTTGTTTTGTTTTTGGCTTAACCTGATTCAGGATTAGTTTTAAATATTTTACTTTGTAATTATGTTTAAATAAAAAATTAAACCACCATTACTTCAACATTTTACTATGCTATGTTCAAACTGCAAGTCTTAATGCCTAATTTAGATTTTTTTTCTTTCATGTTCCTTTATGTTATAATTTACATGCAAGTATCCAACTGTATTGTGAACACACATGGGCAAAAATAAATTAATTAATTAAAAATGGTACCAGTGTTAATCTAGCAAACAGTTTACTACTTGCTTTAGCAGTATTCCATTTTCTATCGCAGCACTGTTGAAATTTGGCTACAAATGTAACACAAGGTAAAATGTTACAATGTCTTTTTTATTTTTCAAAGAAAACTAAAACCTAATCGGTTGCCACTCCAGATATTTTCTAGAAATAAACCATTCAAGGAAAATACAGTCACGCTCTAAACACTCAGAGGTTTTAAACATTTTTGACAGAACGCTGTCATGACAAGGACGGGAAAAATAAACAGAAAATAAACAAAACWTGTGACAAAAGAGACGAGGGAATGTGGAGGTTTAAGTGGTGCTGAGGTTAAACAATAAATAGACCCGGTTAATGAAATAAGGGGAARACTGTAGGATGAGAGGTCTTTTATAAATTAAAGCAAAAGTAACTGGCAGTTTTTAGTAGACTGGAAAAAAAAAAAACGTGTGACTTTTTGTGCAAAAACTGAAACATTGACACAGTTGTCAAGTCGCTGACTTGCCACCAAGCCATTTAGAAGTTTTGGATTTGACCCTTGCAAAAAAAAAAAAAAAAAAAAAAAACTTCTTTCAGTTGATCAGATTTGTGCCTGAAACACCTGAGTTTGTGCTTTTACATAAAACGGCATCTCACAAGGCAGGGTAGCTATTCTTATTGTTATTTATATCCCTAAAATGGGTCAGGCCAAAACAACATATCTTATTTGTATTCCCACAGCAGCAAAGGAGCCGTTGGTGAGAGACTGGAAGAGAAGCTCCCGCGAATCCAGGAGAAACAGCATCGCCAGTGTCSGCCATAAAACAGAGCAGAACGGGATGAGTGGCACGTTCTTCTCACACTCATTTACTCCTAATTTATATTTTTACTTATAAAGAAAAACTAATTTAACGTGACAGTGCTTAATAAAAGGCAAATTACGATAAAGCAGAGAGTTGGAATTTGCTGATTAAGTTATGATTTTCTTGCAGATTTAAAGGAAAGGTTTTCCAGTAAAGTCGAAGGTATGTCCTGTTTTTGYTCTTATTGGTACAATCGTTGTATACGGTGGTAAAAGTATACTTTGATCCCCTTTCGGATTTAGTGAGTTTGTCCACTTGCAAAAATATATTTTTTTTTGAGAGGAAAGAGATTATTGACTAAAATCCTGAAAAAAAAAAGAAAGTGAAAAGTAACTGATCCATTTAACCAGTTTGGTGGAAGATCCAAAGAACCCAACCCAACAGTTAATAACAAAGATGGAAATATGGTTTTGTACTCATTTTGTACTGAAAATACAGGATAAATTAACTGTCTTGAAAAATGAACTGATGGTGTCAGGTACCATAAAATATTTGATRAAAAATGTTTTTCTTGATGATTTCCAACAATCTAATGAACATGTTAGCAAGGTCACCATGAAACGTCTAAAGTTAGTGGAAAGAAACATATTTTTTTACTTTTATGTGATGCCTTTTGGGTTATTGAGTTTATACTTTGTCTCTTTCCATTAAAAATCAACCAAAAATAACAAAAAAACAAATGTTTATTTGATTTCTAAGTGGCCAAAATTAGCAAAAGAAAATCAAATATAAACTTCTCAGTTTAACTTTATTTGGGCTAGTTTTATTTTTTTTTTAAGTTACAAAATCAAAATGTTCACAAAAATGTAAGTTTCTCACAGTGAATTTCACCACAGTCCTGCTTTACAAGGGATCCGTTAAATAAAAAAATAAACAAACTTGAGCACTGATTAATGACTGAGTCTGGTCGGCCATATTAACTCTTGAGCTATTTTTGATGAGCCCATTAGTGGTGTTGAAAGAGCATGCTCAGCAAATCTTTCACGTCGATGCACGGATGATAAATAACRGCCCGCTTTATTGCCCACGGTAGATTGTAAGAAAAGTGCGAGCGTCAATGGAAGAGGATCCACGGTCATCATCGGGTGGAAGCTGATCAGAAGGCAGTTTCTAGCGCTCTTTGTCAAGCGCTTCCACCACGCCCGGAGGAGCCGCAAGGGACTCATTGCCCAGGTAATGGCCTCAGTTTGTCATATTGATGAATCGAAGAGTTGCACTTAGCATGGTTACATGGGAGGGATCAAGGTGGGTTTGTGTGAAATACACACGTTGGCTTCCAAAAATCAGTTGACGCCATGTTATGATCGAGTGGGATCATTTAAACTGAGGGGGGGATGCATTCGTCTCGATGCAGTCTATAGTTGGTGGGGTTTAAGTTGCTCAGAAAAAAGCAGRAGTGAAGAATGAGGAGCAGCGTTTGGAAGGATGCAACGTCAGGAAGCTGCACCTGCAATAAGCATCTTCATTTCCTGGAGACAAAAGCGAGATGTTTTTCGTCTCAATAACAGGGAGCTGAAATCTTTCAGCATCACATTTGCCCTTTGAAACTTCAATTTGGTTTAGGCAGGAAGGCTGTTGACAGATGTGTGCACGTGGGATGAAAAGTGCTCCATAACTTTCATCTGATCACTGAGAGAAAAAAAAGACACTTGGGATTTGTTYGTCCCTCATTTTACCCTGCACTAATCATGTTTTTTGATTAGCTACATATCAACAATTACGCRGATGACACTCTTCTATTAGCTCATTAGGTGTATGTCTATATTATTTTGTTCTTTATAACCATAATTTCAAAAGTCAGAACTAATAAAGAGGCATAATTTCTGCGAGTCGAAACCAATTTAAGCTCGTGGCAGTTTTTGAGGCATTGATTTACTTTTCCTCAGAGTTCGAAACAATGTATTCAACCTTAAATTGATGTAACACGTTTATTTCATCTACCATCATATTGTGTTTTGTAAATATAAAGTAATGACATCAGCTGCCATACAGAACATTATTCTGATTCAATTCAGACTGAAATCGAACATCCTTTCCTACATTGGTGAACCATAAAGGGATAGAAAGAAAGAGCAGGGTTTACCTTTGATAGGCCTCTCCTGTAATTTGCTGCAGTACCCGTCCCCATTAGTCATTGTCAATCTCTGACGTCCCTCTTTATTGGGAACACAGAGCAGGATGACTGGGCGAGTGTCTGAGCACAAGGTTGCTCGTTGTCCTCCTTCCCCTTTACTCGTTTGACTATAAGCCCCTTTCCCTGCCTCTCCATCATCTCTTATTGTCTGTAAATATAACTGTGTCATGACGCAATCTCTTTCAGCATTCGCTTTTATGGGAGTTTAGACGTGATTCTGGCATGAAGCACAAAGAGAGTGATTTATGGGGCTGGAAGTTACGCAAATGCTCTTCTTGAAAATGTCAAAACTGCAAAGCATCGGTTATTTGTTATGTTGTGAATGAGATCAGGACTACAATGTCCCATTCAATGGCAAAAACCTCATTTCTCCTGCGGAGCCAAAGAGTTGCGGTGGCAAATGTTTTGGCACCCATGGAACTTMTGTTCTTCTTTGCGTGCCCAATTTGTAAAACACAACAAAAAAAGGGCATTTTATCCACTGCCTCCGCATTA